AAGTTAAAAATAAGAGATTAAAAATAAAATTGAAAGTTATTTGGTGATTATATAAAATTTTTAATTTTTAATTTATTTTAAAGCTCAAGTTAAAAATAAGTTATTCGATCAAGTAACATCTAGCTTTTTCTAAAAAGCTGGTGTACATTTTAACTCTTGAAAGCTTCTAATTATTATTTTTTTATTATAAAAAAGATTTTTTTTGATACATTTTTTTATAAAAATATATTTGGTTAAGTTTCTTCTTTTAAAAATAAGAGAAGCTAAAAAAAAGACTAGCCAAAAAAGTACGTAATTACGTTGGGATTAAACTGAACTAATTTATGTAAGCTGCATATAAATTTAGGCGTTAAATTATTTTTTTTAAAATAAGTCTAACTAAATATGATCCGTGAGCCATTGTTGGATCTTCCTAATAGGACAAGATGATTGCAATGTGAAAGCTTCTAATGGAACTCGTATTGGAGTGCAATAAACTTAAAGACTGTAATCCATGCCATCCTATCATTAAGGAAAACACTATCTAAAGCTTTTCTATTTTCAATAGTAAAGGAATAAAACCACTTAAGTGTATAGATCAACTGGTAAAAAGGTTTTTCAACTTAATTAGTTCGAGTTTCTAGGAATATAGCTATATTAAAATTTAGTCCTACTTAATTTAAATCAGATTAATCGAATAATTGATGAACTTGATGGGTAATATAAAAAAAATTAATAAAAGCGGAACCCTATTATGCATAAGGAAGTTGAAATTACAAAAACTTTGTTCACAAAGAGATATTGCGGTAGAAATTCTTATGTAGATTAAGAGTATCACATCCCTTAGTTAAATTATTGAACACGTTACATTGCATAATTATATATATTGAATTAAAAATAAGGTATTATTGAATTAGATTAAAAGAGGAACTATATTATGCATAAGGAAGTTGAAATTACAAAAACTTTGTTCAAAAAGAGATATTTAACGGGGTAGAAATTCTTATGTAGATTAAGAGTATCACGTCCCTTAGTTAAATTATTGAACACGTTACATTGCATAATTAAATATATTGAATTAAAAATAAGGTATTATTTAATTAGATTAACCCTTAATAAACTAACAGATAATTTTTCTGGAGATGTATGCAAACTTTTTGAAATACTTGTATTTATTTTTGTAACAGTTCACACTATTCTTTGTTCACAATTAAGGGGCAATTTTGTACAGTGACAATTTTTGCAAGGTACCATTAATGTATGGAGAACTCAACCATTTATTAATCATAATCTATTCTTATTATGAGTCTATAAGTTATTTTTACATTTTTATCCACAATAATATCCAAACTCAAATAAAAAATTCACTCAAATGTATGGAAATTAAATTAAAAAGATTACAATTAATTGCAATCTACTATCAACCCGCTACAAACGAGTGAATCCGTCCCGCTTCACTTTTAATAATTGGCTAAGAAAATCAGCCCGTTCCACCTTGCTATCTTGCCTATTTTTCATTTTGAAAGTGTTTTTTTATCCTTTTTTTATTATTTAATTATTATTTTAACGTTTTCTTCAATGCCATTGCACTCTCTTCCATATATTAGTATATGCACTTTTCTAAGTAGAAGAAAAAGTATATTTACTTTACTCGCTTCTATACTATTAATGTTACCTATGTCCCGTATAAGAATATCTGTTAGTATCCAATAAAAAAGAATATGTATTAAAAGATTACTGAAGATTTAGTGCATGATGTATAGACCCATATTATTAAATGCTTCAATGGAACTTGAAGTTTACATCACCAGTTAGGCACTCTCAATGAATAGCATGATTTTCATGTTTTCCATGAATTGCCTGACAAATACATGCAAATCAAATTCAACTTAAAGTGGGCTAAAAAAAGTAAACGCATCAGTAATACTGAATGTGTGATCCGTTTCACGTTTAAAGAGAATGGTTGAACATTCAGTCATCTTCGACTTCTTTTGTTTTCTTATAAAAGACACAGTCCGGTTAGGTTAGGTGTAAAAATAAAAAATAAAAAATTGTCGGGTTAGCCCGCTGCGCGCCCATGGTGTGTGTGGGCTTGATGCATCGGTGGACTTATATTATTGTTAGTGTGTGTAAGTGCACATATAAATTTTTACAAAACAAAATAAAATATATTTTGAGTCCTTAATAAAAATTATATGACTCAATTTAAACTCTTAGAAAAAAAAGTAAACTCTTGGTCATTCTGAATTTCAAAATAGATTCAGTTAGTCGAAATTGTGGTCTCTCTGAAATTCAAAGAAGACCTACATTAATCCCTTAAAAAGACTAACATGAATCTATTTTGAAATTCAAAGGGATCACGAGTCAATTTTTTTTTCCTAAGGAATTAAATTGGGTCCTGTAAATTTTATTAAGGACCCAAAAGGTACTTTATTTTTGCAGTAAGTTCAAGTTTTTTTTTTTTTTTTTATATTCTTTTGTTTTTTAATATATTTAAAACTTTCATAATTTTTTTTTTTGGGAACATTGTCTTGAACCTCCATCCCTAGATGTGCAGACATAAATAATATTTATTGGGTCTGCCACTGACTTGATGGGATGGCGGGCTAGAAAGTTAAAAAAACTCAGCCTGTCTCACTCCGTTTGGTGGACGGGACGACCTATTTTGTCACATCTACCCATCATAATTATAAGAGTTTTATATTTGTTATGTTACATGACTTTCCTACACACACAATTTTACGTGGGTTCTATCTTTTGATTTTTTTCTCTCCTTTGTCTTCTCAATTATGTGCGTAGGAAATTCATGTTACATGTAACATCACTTTTGATTTACTCTAATTATAAAGTATAAACATTGAAACAAACTTCACCGTTGATGTTTTAAGTTCGGCTTGATGCGCAACAAATAACTTTCATACAGGTATAAGTATGGCTGACCGCTTGTCAGTGACATTATGAATCACGTGAAAGTGTTACTTGTATTGAAACACAAATAATACCCTCAGCTCATCAGAGATATCGGTCAAATGTTGAAACTTGAATGAATTAGTTCCAGATTGAAACAATCCATGAACACTTGATAGGTGCATGATAAACAATCAAGTCCCAAGTTATACATGTTTCAAATGCAGTTTTCATATCCTCATCGTTGCTCTTCCAAAGTTCTACCATCTAGTTTATAAGTAGTAAATAACCTCTGAATTTAAGTAACAGTTGTTCTGTTCTGTGTAATAATTGCAGACAATATATAACCCAAGCACTACTACCTAAGGGCTTAAAGGCTTTGTAAGTCCAAGCAACAATAATCCAAAGAAAAAATAAAACTTTAATCATCAAAATCCAGATCAATCTTTTTTGTTAGCACCGCCCTCACCCCAATTCTTCTAAGTAAGCAAGTATTCATTCTACTTGTAGACACGCCATGTTTGGATTTTTTTCTTTAATTGAAGTCTTTGACAGAACTTTAAAATCTTTCATTCGAAGAACAAACCACATCATATAGAAAGTTTTAATGCAAAACCTTCAATTTTACTAAATTTGAAACTTTGTTGCTATAATTCATTAATTCGTTCCATCAAGTCGTCAGCAATGTCAAACTTCTTGAGCAATCAGACCTATTCCAATAAGAACATGTCAATTAGTTTAATGCCTGATTTATCAGCTAGTCCAAATCCTTGTTCATGCAATTATTAACTATACGCAGAAGTCTATACAAATTAAATAAGCCGTTGGGTGTTTACAAAATATTGGACATAAAAAGCTGTAAACCACAGACACTACAAATTCAACACCCGATGAGTCAACTCTGTTGTAGTCGCAGTGAATGGTGCTTCTGCACAGAAACGGTCAAAGGGACACAATTCAAACAAATTTGGCGACAGAAAAAATTTAAGAATTAAATCAGAGCAGTTTGTATTAAAAAATATTATTAAGGCTCAATGTTTTCTATCTTATAGAAGATAATTTTATCTTTTATACATAAGTAAAAATATGTGAGACACATTTTTTCTTCTTTTTTTCGTTCTTCTCTTTACATAGCTTTATATGGATCTTATATTTTTATGTATGTATAAGAGATAATATGAGAAATATTAATACCTATTATTAATGTCAATAGAGATTAAAAAAGAAAATGGTACTCCCTGTGAACCAGAAAATATCTTTATAGAAACCTTAAGAAAAGATGCATTCAAAGGAATTTCATACCATTCTAGTGCTTGTCCCAGTATTTGATTTACTGATTTAGTTGCTCCGCCAATGACCCATTGATTTGCAAAACTTATATACTTCCATGCTAACTTTGTCAATACAAAGCCATAAACAAAACCAAGTAGTATAGAAAAGAAATTAGATGCCCTCTAGCACAGTTTCTTAATAGGAGAATATTACTCTTCATATGATTTCTTATGCACTCATAAATTAAAGACGAAGTTCACTTTATATTTTTTTTTTTCTTCCTTCTCCTTTAATTAATGAATGCATATCATGAAAATGCTCTCATTTAACATAAGAGTAATATTTTCTTTATGAATAAAACATATTTTTAAAAAATTAGTACTTCTCATTGTAAGAGGTAATGTTGTTTCTTACACACCTATAAAAATATGTAGATCTATATTTTCTTTTTTATTTCTTCTTCTCGTATATGATATATTTTTATGTGTGTAAAATATAAAATTATCTCGTATAATCCCTATTTTTAAACAGTAACATTCTGACCAACTTCAATTATTCTATATAATGACAAAAGTAGCGTCTATTGAGCTACTAGAAATTTATACCAACACAATATTCCTTTCATTTATATTAATAGAAATGTTATATTATATGATGTCAATGAAATCATTCAATTATTTTATTTTTAACAAATATTGAATACTTTAACTTTGCACTAAAAAAAATAAAAACAAAGCTCTATTGGGCACTGAAAATACAATAACAAATAAAGAAGAAAATAAATAAAAAGGGCCATACCAATTTATTATTTTCCAAGTCTTGTCTTTTCGGGGGCAGTGTGGACAATCTTCTTCACCCTCACCTCACCCACCTAGACCTCCACCTCCTTATCCAATAATTTATTATATATCTTCAGATGATGGATTCTCTGCCAATTTGTTGAATGATACCTTTTTTTTGTTACACTTAGGCATATTATAGCTGAGAATCAGAGGAGACAAAGCCAAAAAGCGCTTCTTACTAAGAGGTACGAATATACTATTATAGTCTTGTCAAATATTTACCGAATTAAATTAAAATTGTTTCATTTTTATTTAAAATTCGTGACTCATGAAGCCACTGGTTTGCGATTGGACATGAATTGCTTGGTTTGGCGTTTGAGTTTGTTCTTGGGATGTCCATCAATTCACCGGAATGGTCGAGCTTTTTACTTATTGTTGTTTTTCACTGTGGAAATTTATTGTTTACTAAGATTTAGTTTAGTGTTTCACTTGGTGGGTGAGCGATAAGGGAAACTCAACTGGGTATTATTCGTCTCTAATTCTCGTTTTGTTTGTTTCCTTGTAATTTGATTTATGCATTATTTGGGTATATGGTTTGTTCCTTGTTTTGCTTGCCTCTAAATAATTGTAATTTTTAGTTACTGATGATGATGACTTATGTTTAATTAACAGTTTGTAATTTGTGTGTATACTCTAAAACCTGAGAAATACATGGATTTATCTTTGACTACTTATTGTTTCAATTATTTTTTTCTGGGCTAATAATAATGGACTATTTTGTATGAAACGTAAAGTCTAAAAATTTACTTTGTTATAGCTTTTCTTTCTTTTGTTTTTTTGTAGGATTGACAAGTACAGGGATTTTATGAAGACTTTGATAAGATGCTTCGGCATTACAAAATTTTGGCTGTCGCCGTGACTAGTTATGTATGCTATATCTGGTGTGCTTTACATTGACGAAATGGGTTATGCTATGAGTAGATTAGAGATAGAATCCAGTCTCTCTGAAGATGGAAATGCCATCCATGAAGATTCTAGCAGTCGGCAAACTAAAAAACTATTGAAAAATTTGGACAATGACATTGCTCAGATAACAAAGTTGAAGTCAACACCCCATCAACGACTAGTCCATGGAACTGGAAGGCCAGAGTTACCTGTTTCCCCTGTGAAGTTGCTGGCAGGTCGGGAGGCTAATTATTCAGGACGGGGAAGGTTTTCTTCTGCCGATCGTTGTCATCTCTTGAGCAGATATTTGCCTGTAAATGGTCCCTGGCTTATTGACCAAATGGCTAGTCGAGCATATGTGTCTCAGTTTTCAGCTGATGGTTCTCTTTTTGTTGCTGGGTTCCAGGTAAAATGTTTTTTAGCTTCAACCTTTTATGCATGCTATAGTTTTAATTCTAATCAAATCACTTTGCAGGGAAGCCACATAAGAATATACAATGTGGACAAAGGTTGGAAAGTTCAGAAGAACATTCTAACCAAAAGTTTGAGATGGACAATCACTGACACATCTCTTTCCCATGATCAACGCTATCTTGTAAGTTTCTGTGTTTTATCTTTAAAATAAAAGGAAACAAAAATGTTCCTTTTAATCCATTATTTTCCTTCTATAGGGGTGCCATAGTGTATTGCTACTATTGTCAGGCTTTTTCTTATGGCGTCCGCAATCTTCAATTTCAGGTTTATGCCAGCATGTCACCAATTGTAAACATTGTAAATGTTGGATCTGCCGAAACAGAGTCCCTAGCAAATGTTACGGTATTCACAAATTGTTGCCCTTTGGTTTTAAATTTTTCTCCTAATTCCATAAATACTGCAATTTTTTTGAATGCTAGAAGATATTACAGAGGAATATAGATATTCAAAAATTGAATGTTTGTGATGTGATTCAATCATTACTGGTGGATGTTCGGTTAATAGATTCTTTTTAATGGTATTCTTTTTCTATTCGTAATGTGTTTTCAGTTCTCATTATATGCAGGAGATTCATGATGGTTTGGATTTTTCATCAAGTGACGATGGAGGATACTCTTTTGGAATTTTCTCAGTGAAATTCTCAACAGATGGTAGAGAATTAGTTGCAGGAAGTAGTGGTGATTCTATATATGTATATGATCTTGAAGCAAATAAGCTTTCACTTCGAATTTTAGCACACATGGTATTGTTACTAGGCATAGATACTACATTTATTTAGCTGTATATGATTTGAGATGTTGTTTGATATCTATTGGTTCATGTTGCATAATGATTTAAATTGCTTGATTTCATAATATAGTCCCAGGCTATATGATCTGTACAGAATTGATTGTGAATAATACGAATGGGTAGTTTTATATTTCATGTGATATATTAATCTACTGCATAATAGGAATATGAACCACTATCTATTGGTTCATGTTGTAGAATGAATAAAATTGCTTGATTTCATTATATAATCTCAGGCTCTACAATCTGTATTGAATTGATTGTGCATAATACGAATGTGGTAGTTTTATATTCCATGTGATATATTAATCAACTGCATAATAGGAGTATGAACCACTCTCTGTATTGGCATTGCCTTTACGTTAATGCCTGTGAAATTCTGTTTGAGATTTTCTGTGTATCATTGATATGTTTGTAAAAAAGTTATAATATAAATTTTTTGGAGAATGTGGGTAGATTTTCCTATCCTAAGGAGAATCTTGATTTTATTCCTAACCTCTGTTTGAGCTCACAATGCTAGTCTATATTTTGCTTGCTTACATACTATAATCAAGATCACTGAGAGAATGACTTTTGATTAAGAAATACAGAATTACTACTCACAATGATCAGGCTTCTACACTAACTTTTGGCTGAGGGGTTCATTGCAGGTCCGATCCCTTCATCTTCCAAATATTGTGAAGATTTACAAATATGATATACTAAATTGTTGTATAATCCAGAGATGGTATGATTGACCGCACTGGAGAACCACGCTTCTCCTTAGTACCCCATACCTCCCCTAAGCTACCAAAAAGAAAAAAAGAAAGATGTCAAAACCAAAAAACTTCGATTGGATTGGACTTAATCATTTAGTTTTCATTTTTTGTGGAGAAATTATTTTCTTACTATGGGACTTCTGATGGATCAAAAATATTAACCCAGAGAGGTTTTAACATTTGGTTTCCATCTTATGTTGCAGTCTGATGTGAACACTGTATGTTTTGCTGATGAAACTAGCCATCTTATTTACTCTGGCAGTGATGATAGTTTCTGCAAGGTATGTTCTACACTATAAGATGGCTTCTTCTATTAAGATATTATGTGCTTTTTTCCTCTGTTTGAGTATCACAACTTTTGATTTTCGATGGAAGTGATGGGCACCTTTTACACAGGAAGTCAATCTCATACTCCTGCCATCATGGTTAAAATAAATATTGAATCTGAGAGTTGTTATTAGTTGAGATAAGTGTCAGAGTTATTTGCTTCGGTCATCATCATGTATTGCTGAAATTCCATATCTCATAACTTTCCTTTCCATTCTGATTTCTGGTGTAGGACACATTCTAATGTACAAATTTGTTTAGGTCTGGGATCGGCGTTGCTTAATTTCTAAAGGCAAACCAGCAGGGGTCTTGATGGGACATCTTGAGGGCATTACATTTATTGATAGTCGTGGAGATGGACGTTATTTCATTTCAAATGGTAAAGATCAGACCATCAAACTTTGGGACATACGCAAAATGTCATCCAATGTTACCTGGTATGCTCTTTTTTTCCCGTAATATTCTGATGACCATGTCTGTTGAATTGTAAGTTTATATGTTTTGATAAAAGAAAATAATCAATGGGTAAATTACAGTTTGTCTCATGTTTTGGCTCGATTTTACTTTGCTACCTAGTTGTTTAAAAAGTTTGAATTTAATAATGGAGAGATAAGGATGTATAAAGTTTCATTCATTGGCTGCTTTGTAATATTTTTGTTGAGATATATAGTCCCACATTGGTTGTATGTGCAACTAATGTGGAGTTTATAAGGCCTTGGACACTCCCACCCTTTGAGCTAACTTTTGGGGTGGTGTATCCCAAGGTTCTTTACATGGTATCAAAGCCTCGCCGTCCCCCACTTTCTCTTGTGGCATTTCTTAGCACAGGTAGGCTGGGTCTGTTGCATTGTCCACTCTTCAAGCCCAATGGGCTCTTGTGTGAGGGGGCGTGTTGAGATATATAGTCCCACATTAGTTGTATGTGCAACTAATGTGGAGTTTATAAGGCCTTGGACACTCCCACCCTTTGAGCTAGCTTTTGGGGTGGTGTATTCCAAGGTTCTTTACAATTTTTTGAATAAAATTTAGAAAAAAAAACTTAAATATTGGTGGTATTGTTTACTTCTGCTGATGTCAGCAAATTTTCATTTTACATATTTGACCATGACATTATATTACAGAAATGGAGTAATGGGAAAGATAAAGGACACGTGTGGGAATTTAATAAGGAAAAAGAATGTTTGTAAACTGCCATGTGAAATATGACATGTCTTGCTATGCATTGAGTCAGTGGGAAAACAGCAATCAAGTATAGAAAATCGAGATGGTATCTTGTTCATGACTCAATTCTTGATAACATGTCTCTGGATTAAATAAGACTACTTACGGTCTAATTAGGATGAACTATAACTGATGAGTATTGCTACGCTGCTAATTGCAAGAATGATACTGGTTCCTTTATGCCTACATTTCCGTAAGGTATTGCGGTGGAGTTTGAATTTATCTTACATCTTAAATGAGTCAATCAGTTTATGCTTATGAAATTATCTTAATCAGATTATGAGGCTCATTAATTTTATTTTATTTTTTGAAAATGAGGCTTATTAATTTTGAATTATCTATGAAGCACTCTCACTACATTCCATCACAAAAAAAATGAAAAATACAGTTTTACAGAATTTTATTTTCTGAATAATGTGTCGTGTAGGACTCATGTTAAACTAACCTATCACCCATAATTCTTTGTCTATTTGTGTCTGCATGTCTGTGTGGAAAACTGAAAGATCTTATAATGATTTTCGGGTTTCATGCTTGCATGTGATATTGCTAGATTTCTAGCCTAGCTAATGATGCGTGTTCCTTTGTGGTATTATGTTATTTCTAGATGAAGTTGTTGCCAATGCAATTACATAATATAACATAATTTTCTCTTCATTCCAGCAATCCTGGGTATAGAACTTATGAGTGGGATTACAGGTGGATGGATTACCCACCTCAAGCTAAAGATTTGAATCACCCTTGTGATCAGTCAGTGGCTACATATAGAGGCCATTCAGTCTTACGCACTCTTATCCGCTGCTATTTCTCCCCAGCTTTTAGGTGAGCACTAAGCTGGCCTTGCTCTGTAATTATTCTTCATTTTCGTGTCATGGTCCCTTTGATCCTTTTCTTTCTTAAAGCTCGGCAATTGTTTGAGTCAATCGAACTATTTGTAAAAGTCTGCTTTGTTAATCCAAATTTAAGATTTTCTAAATACGTTAAAATGGTTTTAGTTACTTTAATAGTTTATTTGTGGTCAAGAAAGAAGTTTTTTTTTTTCTGGGGAAGAAAGTTCTGCCATGGTCATATTTTGACCAGCATGCAGCTTGCTTGAGCATATTAGCCTGATGCTTTCTTCAAATTTACAGCACTGGACAGAAGTACATCTACACTGGATCACACAACGCATGTGTTTATGTATATGATTTGGTATGTATTTTAGTTACCGCTGCTTTAGCTATACCTCCATGTATTATAATTTGGACAATTGTATTTAGGTACAAGTTAACAAATAGTATATTTTATGACATTATATTTCATTATATTAAAGGGGAATTCTCCCTTATAATTTTGTTATTCCGTTCTCTCTCTTTTATGCATGTTACATTTTTTAGAGGTAAAAATGTGGACTATGATATAGTTGAAGCATGAATTTTTGGACTCGAGCGACAGGACTATAGGGGTTTCTGTCTCCTTTACCCGTAAAAAAAGTAAAAAAGTAAAAATAGTAGTTTATTTTGGTTCTCTCTTATTGATGGTAACTTGGATATTTCAATACAGGTGAGTGGAGCTCAAGTTGCAACACTGAAGCACCATAAATCACCTGTAAGAGATTGTAGTTGGCACCCGTTCCACACTATGCTTGTTAGCTCTTCTTGGGATGGGGATGTCGTGAAATGGGAATTTGCTGGGAGTGGTGATATACCTGCCTCTTCGACCAAGAGGGTATTTAGAAGGCATTTTTATGAAAATTACCTATGATGTCACTCAAGTCAGTTATGAAATGATCTGGGAGAACCATACCATGTTATGAAGTTGTAAATGGAGTTTGACATAATAAGGTAGGATATGAACTACCACAAAATCTTGTACATAAATAACCACATTAATCGAGATTGCGATTGATGCATCTGTATGCAGTGTCTGTATTAATTTAGTAATATTGCAGCAGTGCATCAGTTATTGGTGTTGTCTCCATATCTAGACTTCTGCCTGGTGCTTTTGCTCAAGCATTCGCGGGTACACTTTATGCCTAATTATTGTGCAGCACATTTTTGTAAAGATCAGGAATAAGGTCAATAATAATACTTTAGTTATAATACAATCCTATATAGATTCATCAACGGTGTTTAACTCAAAAACTAAATTTTGTGAGTTAGTGGATAATTTTTGCACAGAACAGCAAGCTTTCACATATAGAATATAAGCAAGTATTTGGATCGTAAATGTTTCACGTGTCCATTTATTTCAGTGTCTGTAATAATTTAGTTATATTGAACCAATGCATCAATAATTGGTGCGGTCTCCTTCTGGTGAATCTAGACTTCTGCCTGGTACTTTTGCTGAAGCATTTACATCTACACTGTATCCCTAATTTTTGTGCAAGCACATTTTGTAAACATAAGGAATACAAGCTAATAATGCTTCTTTTTTCTTCAAAGTTAGGCTGTTCTCCCTGAAGCATAAAAGAACAGTAATAACATTTCTTTGCGTAAACGCCAGTCCCAAGATGCCTATATTGACCTTCATGAGAATCTATGTTTGTAGTCTCATCATTTGTCCTTGTCTTGATGACTTATTGTATTATATTCTTTGTCATGATACCTTGGTTCCTTGAATTTGATAAATCTCATAATAATTATAAAAGAGGCATGCTGATTATGCCTGTTGCTTAAAAAGCAAAAGTGTTACAAAATAATAGTTTTTTTTTTTAGTAAGAGAAAAATTCTCACATCAATGGCGTGAGATAGCTGCTTCTCCCTAAGGACCACCCTTCCAAAGATTGTAAAAATTTTGGGGGTCCTTCTGTCCTGTCTGGTATGCGGCAATGAACCGCAAAGATGTTACTCTAAGGAAAATGACTGAAATGTCTAGTAAATTCGGTACACACAGGACAATGAGGAAGGCAACAAAACATGGAGCGTTGGGACCTCTTAACACATGGCTGTAGTATTAGTTTTAAGAAATGCTTAATTTGGTTAAAGGCTGATTGAAATTTTAGTTAAAGGCATACGATTACTATTACCCAGAAGATTATCCATGTCAAGATTAGGGGTCACAAAAAATTCCCAAAGCATTGGCTAAAAAAATTAAGAGAAACTAGACTTCAAACTTTGTGATGATGGATCTAATAAAAAATTAGCAGATACAGACATGCATTGTGCTAAAACTTTTGACGTGTGATGTGATCTAGAGCATCCTATCTAACAAGGCAACAACCCGAGACTTACAAATGAATTAGATATAGTAGTGGCATTAGGTTGTTGCCGATGTGTTAGGTTGTTTCAGTGCTTCACTCATTTCACCTTCCATGTGACCCATCATAGTAATTATAATCCAACTCTACCTAAACTCAGTTCTTTTTTCCATGTTTTTTGTTTTTCACATTTGCTTTTTGTACTATGCTTCGTTGTCCCCACACTGAGAACAAGAAAGAAAGAGTCCAAGCCACAAAAGGCTTACAATTAACAATGCAAAAAGAGATCTCCAAATGAGTGAAGTATGCCAGTTCACTCACTTTCCATTGCAGCTGTCCCTACAAACATCTTTCCATTGCAGGGAGCAGCACCTCGTGCTCATGGAAAGCTAAAAAAGCTGAAGAAACGGTGATTGTAACCAGTTGCCACCACAACCCTTCTCCCAAAAGGATAGAAGCTGAAAAATTGTAATCATGTGTTAAAATTCTTCTAACAATTAGCAAACTAAAATGGATGAACTATCCATCATCCATTGTTATTGATACGATTCGTTTTTCGCTGCAAGTTTTACATCTATCCATAATAATAATAACAATAAAAAGCGTCCCAATGCCAAGGTATTGATGATAATAACTTAATAATGAAAGATTAATTCATTAGAGAAGGCACAACAGAGTTTCAACCAACGAAGATTAAGCATCATAATAATGATACGAAATATAATGATCAATCAATTTTGGTTTCATATTGCAATAGTAAAATTTATAATAATAATTGTTATCAAAAAAAAAAAAAAATTTATAATAATAATAATATAGAGAGCATCATAGTTTACATAACCTCGTCAACCAAAATAGCTACACAGTTTCTAAGTATTCACAATCTTCTTATTCATCCTATTCATATATCAACCTCAACAACACATTTATCGCAAAATTATCACAAAATTAAAATAAATAATGAATCAAAAGGCAAGAAAGAAGAGAAGAAAATGAAATATTAGAAGCAAGTGTATATGAATATAATTTTTTTGATATTGAAGATTCCTCAGCCCTTCCACTGGTTGCACTGCGCAATAGGCCTGGTTTTCTGTTTGCCAGCCCTCAAGGGGCAGGGAGTCTCTACGGGCGGGACCATACAATTATACTGTAGACACAGTGAGCTTCTCATTGGAATCACAGCCGTTGGGCTTATCTCAATTCCTGTCAGATAATTGTGCTGTAAATAAAGTATCTGTATGCTCGAGTCCAGTAACCGGTCCACGAAGCTAGCCGGGACCCGACCCGTGAACCGGTTGTTGTTTAGGTAGAGATTCTGCACGCTCGCCAACATTGGCGATATTTGACCCGACAACTGGTTATAACTGATATCAACGGTTGGGATTGAGACCTGATCCACCGGTTGGACCGGACCGGAGAACTGGTTCCTCTCTAATTGGAGATTGGTCAGCGGGAACGTGAAGATCCGACCCGGGATTGGGCCCGTGAACTGGTTCAGGCTAAGGTCCAGATAGTTGAGCTGGTCGAGCCGGGTCAGGAGCTGGTCCATTGGGCCATTGAGTTGGTTCCACGACAGGGAGAGGTACTGTAGAGACGGAGGGAGAGAGTTTGGAGCAAGCGAACCGGAGAGAGTGTTGTGCTTGACGTCGAGCCGGGTTAGGCTCTGCGACTCGAACCGGGGAACCGAACCGGAAAGGCGGTTGTGACAGAGGATCAAGTTTGTTAGCTCCGGCAATGACGCGACGGACGGAGGAATGTGTCCGGCGAGCTGGTTGTAGCTGAGATCGATGGTTCGGAGACTGCGCAACTCACCCAACCCCGCCGGAATGTCGCCGGAGATGAAATTGCGGTTGACGCCGAGGAACCTGAGGTTCTTCAAATTGGCTAGGGATTCTGGAAGAGGGCCATATATCCTGCCAGGAACAACGGTGAACTCGGCGAGAGAAGAGAGTTTTCCGATGGCCGCGTCGAGACGGCCGGTGAGACCGGGAGAACCGGCCCTGGGGTCGCCGAGGTTGAGGGCGATAACCTTATCGGAGTCGCAGTAAACGCCGGCGAAGTTGCAAGGGTCAGCTGTGAAATCCCATGAAGCAAAGAAATCAGAACCCGGCATGTCTTCGAGAGCCTTACGAATGGATTGCAGAGCGAGGAAATCAACTGGGTCCAAAATAGCGAGGTGAATGTGGACGAAGCAGAAGAAAAGAAGAGCGTAGAAAGCAACGATGCACTTCGCCATTGAAACCGGAAACTCTCAATGGACGAAGAACAAGTGAAGAGGGTTTTGTTTTTATAAGCGAATATTTGAAGGGTGGAACACTCAGCATCTAATAGAGAAAGAAGGCTTGGAAGAAAAGCAATTGCTGAATCTGAATCTTTTTTTTTTCTTCTTGTTGTTTTTGGCTTCTTAGAGAAGACACAATGCAATGACTACCACAAACCACACACGCTGCAGAGCATGAACAACTACTACTACTTTTCTTTAACTCTATTGTACTTACTCCACTCTTTCTTTTTCTCTTCCATCCAACCAGAGTAAGGTTATTCAATAACGATAATATTTTAATTGCCACCTGTTTTTTATTCTTTTTTTTCTTTCTTGGGAAGGGTTCCCATCAAACGGTTGTCCGAACCAGCCTACTTGGCTTCCATACCTCAGCCTTGGACGACACGTCATGTGACTCCCATGCGCTTTGTTTCTCTCGAACCACAAACCAAACCAATAGCTGTCAAAATGATTGGGTTTCGTTACTTCGACCTTCGGGGGCACCTATACTACGGCTTGCGTGATGACACGTGTACAGGAGAAGTATTAAAATATCGTGTTTGTTAAAGTAGTAGCAATGTAATTTTATAAAAAAAATGTAAAAGAATACCAAAAACCAGTGTTATGAAACCCGGACCGACCCGGCAACACCGGTCATATAACCGGTCCGGTTGAAGTAACGGATAGGTTATGCATCAAAACTGGTGCGATCCGCCCGATTTTCATGAAAATCGGTGACCTGGTCGGTTAACCGGTGACACGGTCCGGTCTAAAAAAAAAATTTTAATTTTTTTCAAAAAAAAAATCATAATGGATATATTTGAATATTTTTTGCTTATTGACTAATATAAGTTATGTACCTACAACACTAATATTATCTCAATTATGCACTATGCAGAAAATTTTGATTTGCATAGTTAGAGATGTCATTTTCTTAACGTAAAGTCTCGTATCACGATCATTATATTTTTGTTTGATTTTTTATTGGATAATAATATGTCATTTATTATTTTTTATATTAAAATATTTAAAAATTTTATCATTTTTTTAGATATTTGAGTATGTTTATAAATTTTTAATATAAATTATAAAATTGCATATAATTACCGGGTCATGCGGTTGAACCTGTGACCCACTGGTTGAACCAGTGACCCAGTACCTCGACCGGGTCAATGACCGAGCCGGTTTTAATAACATTGACAAAAACACACTAAAACAATATAATTTTATAAAAAATAATACAAATTTATATCATTTAAAATTAAAACACTGAACCCTTATTTAGTTATTTACTCTTCTAAAGACACCGAGCGAGACAAAATGCCCAAAACCCAAAAAAAACCAAAACGACAACAGGAAGGGAAATGGGGCAAGTGTGGGTTTAATGTGGGGATAATATAAGGAGTGAATGACAGCTAAATAATGACAGACCGAACTGGGATTCTCTAACTTCACCCAGTTGGTGTTCAAGGCTTCTTGCGAGAGCTTATATTTATTTCTGGGATGGCACTTGTCGTATTTCGCTAATATATCAAAATAAACATTAAATAATAAATGAGCGTTCCTTATTTTAATTCCAATTCTGTTTTAAGGAAGATCACAGTTCGAGACATGGCAAACCAATCGGTTGTTGATACTTGATGATGCATGAGTTCCACTATTAGCGTTATTGATTGTGATCTATTCGCTTGGACTTCAGGTTGCTGATGCATAGTATAAATGTCATTAATTAAACACTCAAATAAGTACAACCTCACCTCCCCTTTCTTTTTCACATTAAAAATCAACCTACTCAAATAAAGTGTGCACTTTAAATGAAGTGAAAAATTATAATCGTTCGTTAAAAAAATTAAGAAAATAAATTTTAATACAATTTCATAATTTATTATATTTGCACATGGATTTTATCATAATCTTCACTGATAATTTTTTAATTTATAATTATAACTATCATTATTTTATAATGTCTCTAAACTAGCCAAATTCCATAAGAGCACATATCAGGAGAGGAAGATACACTATTATCTCTTTTTCTCTTGGCTTGAAGATGAAGTAAGGTGGGTCAAATGCATTTTCAGTCAAAGTTATGCACGCTATAAAGCTTGTTTCGCAATTCACATTCTGCTTTGAGCTTTCACCAATTACCGTGTGGAAGAATGGGTTCATAACCCCCTTTTTTTTATTTTTTCCTTTCTTGGGCACAGAGTGTAAGTCAACATAACAGAATCAAATCAACAAATCATGTGATCCGCTACGTACTTGGGGAAAGTTCGTTTCGTTTTCCTAAATTGTCCACCTCTTTCCTCTACTCTACTTTTAATTTTGTTCCCCTTTTCATTTGCTATAACTGTTTAAGCTCTACTTGCGTTGCGTGGGTCAAATGATTTAACAACTGTAAAATCAAGTAATTTCAACCAAAAAAATAAAAATAAAAATTTTAAAGTAGACCCATATAGGCCTATTTGATTGCTATTGCCATTGTACTCTACAGTAAATTATTTTGCTACAATAGGCGGTTACGTCAAGAGCAAGTTTTATCGCAAACAATTTTTTTTTTTTTTTAGCTTTCTACATATTTAAAGGCGACTAATTCCTTTCCTGGAACAGAGCATTGAGGTTTTTTTTTTTTTTTTCACTAGCCCTAATGTTCTTGGTCAAAAAATTGAAAAAATGATCTTTTAGTCACAGCAATCCGCTCCTTGCTCACTTATCAACTCTTACTTCATACTTAATTATGATTTGTTAAATTGATGAGTATGAGCTAAATTAGGTAGGAATCGCCGAATCGGTGATAACATGGCATTAGAAGAAATTCCCACATAATGCGAGTGGCTCACACAAACACATAAATGTGGCATCGGATACAAACCAACGGAAAGAAGTGAACAAAACACAACCTGGCTAGATATTAATATTATTTGTGGATAGATATGTGTCTACCTCAAACTCAAATTCAGCCAAACCATAAAGACAAAAATAAAAAGCATTTTTATGAATGTAAAAGAATGACGTCTCTAAGTTTGGTCCCAAAACATACAAAAAGCAAACAACCATGGTGCTATAGTTTTCATAGCTATTATCTAGTCTAGTTAAAAGTTAAAACCACCCCACCTCACTTTTTATAGTAGAAGTTGGGTGAGGATTACACCAACCACAACAACCCGAAACACCCACTTTTTCTTGTACATAGCCTTCAATTTATGGAGTTTGGGTCTGTGGCTTTTGAGGCTAGAGTGGTGATTGCACTATTTCTCTCTACTGTCTTCATTCTGCATGTGTACCAATGTTGTTCTGTTGTCTTTTTCATCCAACTTTCTACTATGATCCTAAGGTAACAAGATTATGTTTTCTCACTATATATACACGCACAAACTCAGTGTGTTGTGCGGAAAATGTAATTAAGTTCGGTAGGATTGGCGAGAGTCTTATTTGAACCGATGGGAATACAAATACTTTAATCCAATCACGACATAAATAACAAGTTATTTGTATAAAAATATTTGATATGGCGGCATGAATAATTTGCTAATTATACTTTTTGAATTAAAATTATCTAAATATCCTCAAAATAATAATAAAAATGTTAAAATAAAATAAGAATAAATATGTATTTATATAATTTTTAAATTTAAGCGGGTTAATTGGGGATTGCCATAAACATAAATACGATGGAGTTTATGTCAATTTTCAATCAACACGAACACGAGTATAAATTGAAATGAACGCAAAAATGCCATACCTAAAAATTAGTTGAATGTAGAAAAAGTTTAAACAAATATAATCAAGGGTTTATTTTTTCTGATATTACTTTAGATAACTTTATCTAATGTTCATCAAAACGACGTCGTTTTGGGACGGAAATCATTGTATTTTGTAATTTTAATTTATTTCAGGGTTATAATAGTCTTTATAACTCTACTTTTTTAATTTTTCAACCCCAAAACGACGTCGTTTCAATGAACATTAGATAGAGTTATCTAAAGTAACATCGAAAACTTTTTTCCCTATAATCAAACCAAAATTACAAAGTAGTCTGAATATAGCATCACTCTAACCCTAATAAAAGAATGGAAGCCGTTATTTAATAAACTTTCTTATGAGTAATGGTATTTAGTGTCGTTTCATATATTAATTCATTTTTTTTATTTATATTGATGGAAATTGAACATATAACCTAATACAAACTACCCAAACTCTTAATCACTAGATCCTTAGTGGCTTTTTATATATATTAATTCTAATCAGGCACTAATATATATTTTTAAAAATAGTATATGAATAATTGTTTTTATTATTGAATATTTGTAACTACGAATGTCATTATTTTATTATAAAATATAATTAAGTTGATAATTTAATTATCACACATATTAATAAAATAAACTACTATTATAATGATAGCATATAGCGAGAAGGAATTTACAAACAATTATAGTTATATAGTGACTAAATTAAAAACTTTTATGGTATAAGGGTCAAATTCAAAATGACGTTCATGTATAAGGATATATTTTAACCCAAATATAAATACTATACAAAAATATTTATAAAAAAAAATTGACCTATAATTAAATTAATATCTTTCTTTCGACTAGGCTAAACATGGTTGGGAGGTAACAAGGAGAAAATTTTAGGAGAATAAACTTTCAAGGACTTAGTTATGTTTGGTTAAAAAGTAAAGGATGGAAGAAATTTTTTTTTTATTTTTTTCGAGAAATTTCAATCGGTTCATCGCTTTGTGATTAGTCCAATTCGGAGCGAGTCTGAGGATTAAGACTTTAAATCTTTTCTAAATATTATACTGGAGATGATCAAACATATATTTTCATCTTTTGTTGCTCAGTTTATTCTGAAATGAAAGAAAGAAAGAAAAATTCTGGAAAGTAGAATCTACCCCCTCTTGTAGGGATAAATCCTAGTTCAAGGGAGAGTTGGGCTCAATTCGTTCTCCATCTCGCTCCAGTGGCCCAGTGACATGGATGTCTGGCCCATGATAGTCTTGATTTACAAAATTCAGCCCAGTGTACTGGCCCACCAAACAAATAATCCGAATAGACTGGAATAAATTAGCGAAATACAAACTCATCCCAGTCAAAAATTAATTTCAAAAGGTTTCATTCTGATTTATCTGTGTAATAAATACTACTAATTACATGATGTATATATATATAAAAATAATACTTACATTATTCACATATCCCCTTAATTTATAAGGTAGAGTATGTTCTAGTAACTTTCTTCTTTGTTCCGGATGGCCCAAACACTGGTACAGCCCAGCCGGTCAGGCCCAATCCTCAGCCCGTGGACTCTCGCGCCCTCCAACCTTGCAGCATATTCAAGGGATACATCGAAATGCCCCACCTCGGGACGCTAACCACCAAAGGCGCCAGCCACAGGCACCATAAGGGAAAAACTACCCTCTGCCCAGTGCTGACATCGCCAGACGCCGAAGGCGCAGCGCTGCCCAAAAGGCAGTGCCAAATACGCCCAACACTGCTATCCTGGGAGTACATCCCAAGGAGGGTTGACCCCTCCTTACCAACCCACATCATATTCCCTATAAATAGCCCCCATGGGCACAACTTAAAGGCATCTTATGTATCATGATATTACCCATTTACTTTGAGTCCTATTGCTCACTGCACTTACTTATTGTCTTGCTATTGCTTGACATAATACCTCTTAGTCTGGTCTGTACCTAAGCTAAGGGTATCTCCCATACAGTGCCTTATCCCTAAAAGGAACATAGTGAGCTTATAGATCCCAACAGTACATTCTTTATGTCACAACTTCGTTTATCATATAATGATTAATCATAATAATCTATTCTACTATAAATAAAATCACCTCCATTTATTCTCAAATTATTAACTTTAGATAATTAAACATCTCTTACCGTTCAAGAGCTAGGAATTTCACACTTTCAAACTATTAATTCTTTGAATTGAACTAAAGAGTTCAAAAGCTAAACATTATAATTAGGGGTGTCGGTATAAAATATTAAACCAAATCCAACTAGAAAAGTGGTAGCGTTCCAAATTCCAACGAACCGTATCAGTTCAGTTCATTTAGTTTTTTCACACCCTAATAGATCCATTTTCTTTAAAGACAATTAACAGGCCTGTCAATACAAACTTTATCGGCTCATTTAGTACACACATGTAACTTTGAATAAGAAAGAATCGTATATGTAACAAACTAGGCAAGAAATGCTTATTTCCCATCATTCAAACTTGTGTTATAGTTCAGAGCGAATAATCCTGAAAAAAAGAAAAAGAAAAAGAAAACAGCTGATCCATCTAAAGCTTTATTTTGTTCCCATTTTCAACGGTTGGCCACCATGTCACCTGCATCTAATCTATTTTAGGAATAGAGCCACCAGCAGCCTTGATTTCTTGCTGCAGCTGCAATAATCAATACAGGGAATATAGTTGACCACTATATATTAGGATTCAAACCTCTTCAACAACAAAATGATAAGCATATGAAGCTGCATTAGTGTCCGACAAGAATTAAGAAATGCAGGTTGTGTGTCAGAAAACCAAAACCACTCCCCGTTAAACCCGACTAGCGAGCGTGGAGTAGAGGAAATCCTTATACGCAGCTTTACCCTTGCATAATTGCAAAGAGGCTGTTTCCTGGATTCGAACCCATAACCTTTCAGTCATGAAAGAACAAATTGTGTGTCGGGAAATAAAAAAAACTCTTCAACAAAAAATTTCAAGCCTCCTAGAACAAAATATTAGAGTTGTTACCAGAAGTAAGTATTGCAGATTTTTCTTCAGCTGAGAGTATTCAAGTTGCAATTGTTGCAGACATCTCACACACCTGCAACAACAAATTTTTTCATAGTGATTTGTCCAACATTCATAGTCAAGGCCATATTATCATGCTTAATTTTTTCTGAAATGCTCATAAAGAAGCACGCAATAAACATATTATCTATTCTCTATCATTTTAGGCTTAATGAACATGGTATATATATTTTGTAACCCCCGAGCTGTCAACATTTTCAAGATATTTACCAATATTGATCAATTAATAGTGACATGCAAATAACATACCTCCTAAAATATGAGCACACATGAAAAAGAGCTCACATTCACTGTAAGAATCAATTTGATCTCTTTAAGTTTTAAGCTAAGAAATCAAAGATTAACGTAGCATGTAATTAATACCACTCATTCATCAAAACACAGATATGAAAAGGTCTATGAACTGTAACAGCAGCTGCGTCATCTATCTGATATAGTTGAATTGCGATGGTGCATTAAAAAGCATGATGGACTTCGCAACACAATCATGACAAAAACAGAAGCCTTGAATTATGTCAAATATGAACAAGATCATAGATGAAAATATTCTCAGCTCTCATCAATTGTCATTACTTTTAATTAGTTCATATTCTAAAATCTTTCAGTCCTCAATATTATTTCAGTAGTTGATTTTAAATTTCCATTATGATCAAACAGCAAGCTCCCTTGTTCCAAAAGAGTAATTAAGCCCGGGTGATACTAATTTCAGTGGAAAGGGTTTGAAGAAGCTGACTTGGGCAAAACCATTGTAGTGAAAAATATATCACGGACTCAAATCACCTCTGTTCCTTCTCCTTGTCTCCAACATTGTTTCCTCAATAAAATATGGCAGACTAAGAGAGAAATGTAAACTTTTTTCTTTGTGATAGTATTTTATTAAAAAAAGAAGAAGAAGCCAGAGTGACATAGGATTTCAATCCGAAAATCACATATCTCGTTTAAAAAAGTAAAGAGAGTACATGGAAGAAGAAGATTAAAAAGAGATTATGTATCATCCAGAAGTTATTTAAATGTCTTCCTAACTTCAAAAATAAATCATTTTTTTAAAAAAAGAAAAAGAAAAAAGAGAGAAATGATCTATAACTGATTATTATAAACATTCTATATTAAGAATAATATTTTATAGCAAAAAATATCAATATATTTTATAACAAAAAATCTCAATATCAAGTTCTAAATAAATTTATAATTTCCCTTTCACATAACATCTAAAGTGGAGAATCTATATTTCCTTGTATAGTCTTAATTATAGTCTTGAATTCTTAATCAAATTTACTTTCTCACGTTCATTTTGTATCCAAATATAGTCTTAATTCTTTTACTTTCTTTCTATTTCTCTTTGATTGCGTTAATCTTCTCTTTATTTACAAATTTATACAATAACTATTAAACTCTAAAATTATGTCTTGAAAAATCTTCATCATCGTCCCTTAAATTTCGCACAAATTTTCCATACATTTTCAAAGTTGAGATTTATGTAATAAATACAAAATTCAAGAATGTTAAGAGTAATTTATTTGATAAAGAAACTTTCAAGAAATTAGCAGACTTCCAAACTATACACATTACTTTTCTTGCCATTTTTTTTAATCACGGCATTGTAGAAGTTTTTTTTTATCCGTGAATTTATATGTCTTTAGAAGTTTATGAGGTGTATTATAAAAAAGATTAAAAAAAACTATTTAGGGGATTCAGATTTAAAAAAAAAAAAAAAAAAAAAAAAAACTATTTAGGGAAATGCTTCCCCCAAATCAAAGGTAAAATCAGTAGCCTCCGAGAAACAGAGTAAAGGTCTTTACTTTCAAAATGCGTAGAAGGTTTGATGGGTTCTATATAAGGGGTAAATAGGCATCCATATTTACACTACATACCAAAGACTTTTGTCATTTAAATTTCAGAGGAACTTGAAAAAAAAAACACACTTTAATCAATTTAAGAAGTATTTGTATTTTGTACTTGTAGCGTTTTAAATATTTTCACTGAAATACATCTCTGGAAGCTTGTTAAAGCTTCAGAAATTAACATGTAAATTTCTATTAACTAGATCACCGAACAAAATTGGGGACCTATGAATCAATGAATATATTTTGTAATCCAAGCCATGTAAAAACAAAATAATTCACAACATATGAGATCCGAGTGTTGAAGCAAAACCGAAAAGTGCATGTTCAAAGATTAACGACAGCTAATAGAACTCACCCTTCGAGGTTTTTAGCCTCACAAAAATTTCTGAAGGTGGTGCAGACATTTTTAACTCTAGCAGCGCCAACACTGTTAAAACAAATAATGTCAAAAACAATAAAATATTCACGCATATATTAATGTAGAGTAAACACCCTTTTTAGTCTCTGTCAATATCTACGGAGTCCTTTTTAGTCCCTGGCAATAAAAAAGGACCAAATTGGTCCCTGAAATTACAAAAAAGGGTCATGTTAGTCCTTATGTCAACTCTCAAATATGTAGAGTGACCCTTTTCTTGTACTTTCAGGGACCAATTTGATCCTTTTTTATTGTCAGGGACTGAAAAGGACTTCGTATATATTGCCAGAGACTAAAAAGGGTGTTTACTCATTAATGTAATACACAAATAATAAAATATAATCTTATACCTGGCACTGCTTCCCTTGTACTGATGGACAGGATCATATACTTGTTGGAAATCCACAGGTATTTGTTCTCTGCACAAGTTAAACAGACACCAATTGAACATTTCCCTTCACATCATTCATATTAAATTAAATTTTATGTTGTCTTAGAAAGTTAATCAAAACAATACATACATAGCACGCGCCATGTTCTTGAGGAGATTCTCAGAATCATCAAAGAAGAGAGTCACGACATCGATCACAAAATTTGGACTAGTCTCATCTTGCAGTTTATAAAGCTGGGAAAACTGATCATCCAGAAACCCCTACACCCACAAAACAAAAGAACACATTCACAATTAAGTCCAACGAATCCAAAATCACCAACCAAATATTACAAAATTGAAAATAGTATTCATCAAGGTTTTGACTCAAAAATAAGAATTATAAATATAAATTTTTTTCCTTTCTCAAAAAGAATAATATAAGTTTTCTACAAGGAAAATGACCTCCCATCAGAAAAAATAGAGTCTCTCTCCAATAAATGAAACAGACATGGGGACCAACGCCAACGTGCGTGTTGTTGTATATATTTGAATGTAATTGAGAAAGAGAAATGAACAGTACCAATAATCGTTGACCAGAGCGAAAAACTATTGAAGTGAACCATAATATGTGAAACATAGAATCGAAGAGATAGGAACCTGTTGAAACATAAAAGCTTGGTGGTCGCGAAGCTTCCTCTGCAACTGAGTAACATCCATGGTCATTTCTCTCGCTTTGGTTTTGAGATCTCAAATTGATATGGATACAGAGAGAGTGGGGGTTTATGACTTGAAATTGAAATTGAATAGCTCTGAACGTTTAAATACTAAGAATTGGAAGTTCTGTCCCTGAAGTGATGGCGTTTGATTTTGGTACATTATGCGTGTCCGAATTCTGAAATTGAAAACGATGTTTTTTTTTGTGTCGAGATAGTTTTATTAGGAAAGGCAATGAATGGAATGGAATGGGTTACCAAAAATGAGGATTCCTCCTTTATTTGTCCACTTGCTGCTTCTGGTTAGTGGTTATGTATCCCTTTTTTGTTTTAAATTTTGTTATAAGAGGCAATTCATATTTGACTATAAAATAATTATTTATTTCATTAATAATTTTATAATTGATAAAAGGAAATATACTACTTTTGAGAAAATATTTTAAGCGTTTTGCATTCATTATTTGATATATCCATTCAATAGAAACAAGATATTAGCGATAACGCGTTGTCATATGACTCATATCAGCGCTAAGAGAAAAACAAATAAAGTCCTAGCGTATTAAATACACGCGTCTTATTTTGAATGACAATAGTCAATAATACGTGTGATGAGAGTACTTCTCTCCACTTTTGGATGAATAATGACACAAAAGAAGAATGTGTTCCTTGGCGATAGGTACAGATTTTATTTGGTGCTTTTGATTATAAAACTTCAATTAAAAATGTTAATTTTTCTACATGAAATACATAAAAAAAATTAATATATAAAATTATAGAATTTCATTAGCAGATTACGACCGCAACAGAGCTCAGCGTCAATAATGATGGTTGTCAAGGCAAAAAAAAATTATTTATTGTTTTTTAATAAATTAATTACGTATTTGTAATAGTTTTTGAAATAATGACGGATATTTTATTAAATGTGTCATATTGTGCAATAAATATGCAAATTTTTTAAAAACAGTAATAAATGCGTAAATATTTTATTAAAAAACAATAAATAATTTTTTTTGCCTGATTGTCAATAATAACAGTTATTAGAGTAATACCAACAGTATCAATTTGTAGAATATATAAAGGACAAGGATGATAAGAAATAAAATGTAAATTATCGAATTTTGTTTGATAAATAAATTGTCGATTCTAACTTTTGTATTTGATACTTGGAATTATAATAATTCTTATAGTCTAAGTTAAAAATTAAATTTAGTATATATATATATATATATATATATATATATATATATATATATATAATTCTATGGAATTAGACGCAGAATTAAAAGTTCGATTTTGATCTACCAAACAATAAAATTATAATTAGAAGTTCTAACTTCATTTTGTCTTATATATTAAATTAGGGTATACTTTATTAAAAATGGTTAAACTTTTTAATATCTTCTCTCTTAAAAAATAACACATTTCATTCTTAATGTCTATTTTATTATATTTTTAATTTTTAATTTAATTGTTTTTTTTATAATTTTAAATATTTTTAAAGATTTTATTTAAATTAATTATACATATCTTCCTTGTGTTCTATATTTTGGGTTTGAAATGGTTTGGTTTGGTGGAGAATCAAGGAAGTTAGGGTTTTGTCTCACAATGTCTCTCCCTCTCTATCAAGCATTGCATCTATCGGGGAAGAATAAGCAAATGGGGTGGGTTGTGATGTTCTGTAAGTTAACATAGTTAAGTTACTTTCCATGGGTAAAAGCTTATTTATCTATTCACGTTGATTCACTACCAAACTTTACCCAAGAGTCTGAAATATTTTTTTAGAAACATTTCTAACTTTACTTTTATATTTTGGATATTTTTGCTTACATATAATTTTTTCCCATAATTTTCATCGACTGCACTTTTTACCTCAAAAGTAACTCTAATTTATTTAATTAGATATTTTAGCTAATTCATCGCACTAATATAAGATTAATTGCCTAATTACATGCAATTAATTAAATCTTATGGTGAAACCAATTTTGAAAAATATGAAATTTTTTAAGCAATTCTGTTAAAGTCTGATCTTGAAGTGATTTGGTTCTTTTGAATTTTTGACACATCCCTAAATTTGTTGGTTGCACATTTGGTTTTTAATTCACATAAGATTAATAGTCATAACATTTTTTGTTCATGTGTCGCACTTGATGGGAGACAAACATCAAATAGGCTAAGGAAGTGAGATTAAATATGATAAGATAACATTTGTCTCATTTTATAAATGCAAGATATAACCTTTTAAATAACTTAGTGGTCATCTTTATAAATTAGTTTGTATGACCATTCATAACACAATCTAAGTAAAATTAATGTCAATTTTGTCTTGTGAAAAATATTTGTTATTGTAACCTTAGTAAAAAATGATTAATTGAATTATTCGAAATAAAACCATAAAGAAGTTGAATAAACTGACAAGTTCACATTTAAAAGAAAAACTTTTAATAATGTTATCAAAAAAAAAAAAAAAAAAAAAACTTTTAATAATTAGTTGTAGTTTAGAGCTTATATCTTGCCTGATTACATTTTTTTAAATGTTACCATACTAATTACAATTCAGGTATTAATTAGAAGAGGATTAAGTGAGAATGATAAATTGAATTAAGATTGTGAAAAAGCGCACACACTTATGTTGCAACCGACATGAGACATGATACGATATGCCGACACGCTAATTCTAAAATATATTAAATTTTGACACATTTGTACACATTTTGATATAAAATAATATTTTTAACATATATAATATAGTTTACATTTAATACATATAGCAGCTCATGATAAGTCATATAATCAATCAAATATTCAAATTTCATAACATAAATATAAAATAAAAATAATTTTTTATACCTTGTTAATTTTTAACGTCAAATTTCATAACAAAAAATATTTAATTTTAAATTAATTTTTCATGTTTAGTTAAAAAGATAAAATAAAATAAAATTTTGATTTGTTTAAAAAAAAGTTAATCATGTGTCAGAAAACGTTGATTATGTGTCGGAGCGTATCAGAGCGTTGACTGCATGTTGAAAAATATTGATTGTGTGTCAGACACATGTCAAAACGTTTCAGACACCGATACATATTTTTCACCAAAATCTGTGTCAATGCTTTTTAGTCACATACCGTTGATTCGTCAAAGTTTATATGCCTGCATGACAAAGCAAGAAGCCTTGCACACAAAAATAATGACAGAAAGACTAATAGGTTCCTAATAGGAAAACCAACTCATCAACCGATCCGCTTCAAGCAACGAATCGGATATGTCATCGACCTAATATCAACCCGATGAACTGGTAATGAACTGCGGTTCAACCGGTACCAGTTTTCTTCCTCAAATCAGTTTTTGAAAATGCATACAAAATATTTCATATTTTGTGAGCGAATGGGGATCAAACTAGTAAGGGTCGACCCTTGTCATGGGTTGATATAACCTAGTACTTTCCACTAAGTTACATTAGATTATTGTTTAAATTGCACCATTTAAAAATTTATTATATATTGAATATAAAATATAAATTTATATACATATGTTTGAGTCATGTAATTTAACCAGCGACCCACTAATCCGATACCTGACCGAGTGAATAAACGGTTTGAATTTAATAAATTTGCCAGATAAAATTGCCATGAAAGACAGAAAGTACAAAGAAAGAGTGTGTGACCTTATGAAAATTTGAAGAAAAGGCAGCATATGCAAAGAAACTAACAGTCAAATACAAATAGTGTCTGACCATTTTCTTTTAATTTTGAATAGTGGTTATTCAGTGTATGAAATCAAATCTGAATCTTGGTGAACCATTAATGTTATTGATTATTAGGGTTAAAGATTTCTCATACTACATATGAGATGAATTTCTTTTCTTACATACATAATAAATTTGTGAGTCCCATTAAAAAGAAAAAGAAAATTAATGGGACCCACATATTTATTATGAGTGTAAGAATAAAAATTATTCTCATATAGAGAAATCTTTTTTTTTTTGTACATAGAAGGGGAATAGCCCCAAAACAAAGGAAATGAAAACAAAACAAAAACAGGAAACTAACAGAAAAACTTAAAAAAGCACAAACAGGAAACATCAAAACACAAATTAACCAGGATCTAGACTATCAACCTCCAGAAGTTCAGCCAGATCCGGATGAGGAGAGGAGATTAGCTTTAAACCATATTCATCATCAACAGGTGATCGATTGGTTTGTGGAGGTAAAGGGAGGTCTTGACCGGTGGCCCACGAAGCAGGTGTTGTGCCATGGAGGTGTGGTGGCGTTCCGTGTTGTTTTTCGTCTGTGATGATCTAGACTGTTTTTTCTTGCGTTTATTTTTGCCAAAGTGTTTTATGCTAACTTTGTCTTTATTGCTTGTAGTTGGAAACATGGCGGCAGATGCGTTGAAGCTTGCACGTGAGGCGGCTGCTAAACTGAAGGGCCAGCAGGGCGTGGCTCCTCAACCTCAACTGAACCTTCCTTCGAAGAGGAAGGGTCTGGATAAGGGAAAGGATAAAGAGATCAGGGCTAAGAAGAAGAAAATTCATTCTGCCGCTGACATTCCTGCTGGGGAATTGGAGAAACGAGCCAAACGCCCGATCATTAAGGAGCCCACTGGGGTGGCGGGCAATTCTTCCGCCACAACTCTAGGATCTGGATCACCGACCCTTGGGGGGTCCGGGTTGAAACGGGGTACGGAAGCAAGTTTGACACCCTCCCAAGCTTTCAAGGTAGCACGCCACGAATCATCTGGGGGTGGGCAGTTTCATGATGGCGCCTGTGAAAGTGACCAGGCTATCAACCATGCTTCTGGCGACGGAGAGGGTGTCAAGCTTTCAAGGCTCTCCTCCTGTTTTTGTAGAAATTCCCGTGAGTAGGGCTCTCAGCTTGTCGGAGAGGGATCTTGCTAAGGGATTTCCCAACGTTGGGCGCCCTAAGATGGCGGTTCCTGAGCGTTTTGATCGCCAGCAACTTATGAATTGTACTCAGGTGGTTATTGGCCGCATCTTGGGGATGCAGGAGATCGCCCTTGCTATTGACGAACGGTGTTCCCTACAGGATGATCGCCTTGTTGATTTAGGGCGACAGATGGATGGTCTGACTGCTGAGGTTGGGCGCCTTGGTAAAGAAGTCGCTGATGGGAAAGCTTCCACCAAGTCTTTGTCTGGTTAGCTGAAGAAAGCGGATGATGAGGTTAAGCGGTTGACCAACGAGAAGGATGA